AGCTGAGTCATTTATGGAAAAAATTATTTACTGACGAGAGAACATACCGAACTGTTAATAATCGATTGAAGTGACATTTTGCCCGTAGGTCTTTTTACTGGAGTTATGATCGTTTTATCGAATTTCGACTTATGAGAAGATAACCGCAGAAAAATCAAAAAGAGGAAATTTTTATCTGAGATTTTGCTCATAAATAGGCTATATAATTTTTAGCACATCCTGAAAGTTTCAGCCAAAACGAATAGCTCCTTTTCGTGATATTGCATGTTAAAAAAAAACAATCAGATGTCACAAAAAAGGCTCATAAAAACGTGTTGTCTTCAATATTCAATTTCTCGAGAAAGAACTATCCGTTTCAACTGAAACTTTCAGGATGTTCCAAGGATCATATAATTTATTTATGAGCCAAATTTCAGATAAAAATTTCTTCTTTTTGATTTTTCTATGAATATTTTGTCATAAGCTGGAACCCAGTAAAACAGTAATAACTCCAGAAGGAAGGTCTATAGAGATGAATCCTTTTTAGACCTTTCCTAATTTTACTGCGTCCTACTTATATGCTAAATAATTATTAGTCATCAACAGTTGTGTACACACCCTCGTCAAGCAAGGAATAAAACTGACAAAGAATCACCAAGTTATTGTACAAGAGAATGGATAAGAGTAAAAATAAAACAAATCGATGAATTTATTCAAAGAAGAAAGCCTGCAAAGAATAGAAAAATAGCTTTCGTACAGTACTCTTTAACAGTCGGAAGAATGAGAATTCTAAAACAAAGTTTTATTCAAATAGTTATCTCAAATTCAAACATAAATACTTATTTCGTGATACTATGCACAAGAATAGGGTGTTGTATGGCTATCGGTGAGACTACTCAAGTTAGCGCCACCGAGCATCGTTACTAAGATACCGTTCTTACAAGTCTGAATATTCAAAGATTTCCAGTTCACCTCAATCTATCTTAGTCACCTCACGACGATACTAATGGCTATTAAAATAAAAAAATTGAATAGCATATTTTGAGATATATTATAATCCAAAATTTATTTTTCTAATAAAATTAAATTGTACAAAAGTTAAATGATAGATATATAAAAGATAAAAAACTCATATTCTCAAAATATTTTCGGCAAATAAAACAACCATAAAATATTGAAATCTAGTGTCGAGATAAATATTTCGTTCTTCTGTATTTTATATGAAAAAAACATTTTTGATCACCAACTTTTTTGCAAGAAGCGATTTTTCATTATCTCTCATTAGATGCTTCTACACAATCCATAAAACTCTTCATCCAAATTCATCCCTTTGTTCTCATGAGTTAAATAGATTAATGTATGACTAAAGCAACTGCCAAATGGACTGCGCGTATCTGTGAAAAAACTACATATCCATTTAATAATATGGTTCTTCTCCAAATCGACAACACCCTATGCATTAATTAGTCTAACTGACAAAGCACATCAAAGAGCATGAGTGTCCTGATGTTATTGATCTGGAGATGTACCAAGTGTATTGTTCCCTTAGCTAATATCGTAATATATATATATATATATATATTGTTTGCTTTGTATCCTATATTTTGGTTCTTGTACAAACCGATGATGTATTTAACTGATTGGTCTGATTGACAGTAGAAAATACTGCAAAGAGAGAATAGGAGCATCAGAGGATGGTCGGACAAGGTTGTCGTCGATTCGGAACAGCAGCTACACTTTATTAACAAATAATAATGTGAAATGGATACTAAAAAGTTAGTGATCAAGAATACTGTCACCTGTTCATACTACTAGAAGCAAAACACATGATTGAAAGTATATTTTAGTCGAAAAATATAACGGAAATTTAAGAAACAGAGGAGCAGTGTGAGTATGACTCTTCTCTTCGAAGACACTCATATCCACACCAGAGATGGACAAAATCGCACCGCGCCTCACCGCGCTTCCCCGCGCCACTGCTCGCGCCTAGGCGCTACGCACATCTCTCTTTCTCTTTGCTCTACCAATCAGTTTCTCAAACTCCACCGAATACCAGGATGCTCTAAGTATGCGCTCATCGAAGCTCAGACTAGTGTAGCGTAGGCGTGAGCAACGGCGCGGGGAAGCGCGGGGAGGCGCGGTGCGATTTTGTCCATCTCTGATCCACACCAAACCATACCATCATTCTCTTACACCTCGCCTTCACCCACACCATTACTCTCCCACACGTCATCCACGCTCGATCTACCTTCTCTCCGCATCTATTTGAGGACCGATTTGCTGTCTTCTCTCCTCCAGTTGGTCCATACCCCACTTCGCAATGCCGACCACTTCGCGACGGCAGTGTCTAGTTATGATATGAAGTCATATGAGACAAAGGAAAAAGTCTCCCTTGTGTGATTTCTTAATCGAGCACGTTATCAACATTATATTTGCTTTATATAGGTAGCTAAAATGAAGTGTATTCTCTCAGAACAACGCAAATCTCAATAGAGTATCAAACACTTATTGTGCTGTCTTTAAGATTAATACTTTGTAAATATAACTAAAAATCATTAAATGAGTAACGACTATTCATATATGGATGTTTTTTTCTTTTTTTTTCGAATTTACAATTTGTCATTTATCTGTACTTGTGTGTTTTTTTTTCTTAAGGTCTAAAGTACGACATTGTGTGGACTGGACTGACTATTAAAAAAAACGAGAATCAAACAATCACAATGAATTACTAACACTCAGATCATTATTCGTCTTATCAGAGCCTGAATCAGGGTAGAGTTTTGGCTTACCGTCTTGCCCCGCCGAGAAAAAGTTTCTCCGCTTCGCCTCGTTCCGACCTGATTTTTATTTTCATTTCTCCGCCTCGACTCGCCTCGGCTTTATTATTTTTTTCGTCTTCTTGCCTCGTCTTGTCCCGTGTAAAGTATTCCTTGTCTCATTCCACCCCGACCTTGATTGTTGTTTCTTCACTACCTCGTTAAGTACTTATGAAATATTTTTTCCTTTGGTCATATCATTTGTTTGACCTCATATTGAAAGAAAAAGAAACACCAATATAATAGTGGAAATAAAATGTAACGAATCATTAATAAACGTTTTTGTTATTCTCTACAGAACGAAGAAAAAAATATTATTAACAGTTGTGGGATGTAAATTAGGTCGCCTTTGGTTGATAAATTATTTTGCTACCGAAAATTCTTTGTCGACAGCAGCTGAATCGTGTGGTATTAGGTATGTGTGACATGTCAATTTAGAGAAAACTGGAAAAAGATTTTCGTGTTCATGTCAAAGTATGAGTTTCAACAGTCTTTGTCTGATTCGAAATCGATATTTATATCTTTTTCGCTTCTTCGTCCATTAACTGTTGAAGAAAGTCTTTCTATTGGATCATTTTCAATATCAAGGGTTGCGGTCGTAGTCACTTTCAGCAGACATGCACTGCAAGCACGACAACATTTTGCTTTTTTAGCTGTTGTTAATAGCAGTAGTCATGTTAGTTTTAGATGAAGAAAAGAATACTAATAAAGCGTGTGATAGAGGATATAGCAGGTTTTTGATAGACTGTTTGTATCAAGTTGTACTCAACCAAAAGGTTTGATGCCAATGTTAAGGATAGAAAATTTTCTGTCAGTTTAACGAAATGTCCACTACTAAATTATTGTTAGGCGCATCTTCGTAGCATCAAAGTCACTGAACACTAGAAAAAAGCCAACTTCGCAGCTTCGAAATCATGACATTTATAAATCCAGTTTGACCAAATTAGGTTGAGCTCAAATGTCATTTTTCTTCAAGTAAGGCATGTAAAGTTTTTTAGCGCATCAAATGTTGTGCCTAGTTAAACATTTCCTAATGTGTTTCTGTTGAAAAACTACAGAATATCTTAAATGCATCCTCGGCCTAATAACTATAGATATATACTTTGTATGTTTCCTTTAAGTAGTAAAATTTTGCGCAAATGTTCGGCTTCATACCTACAAAATGAGCATGCTTCTTCCCTTTTCTTACTGTGTTTGAATAGAGTATAGGAAGTTACTTAAGAAATAAAAACTGCATTGAATTCTAGTGAAATGCTGAGTAAGTCATGTTTTTGTGATATGCAACAATTTTGATGTTACAAAAAAATGAAAGTGTTTATCGAAAAATTGAATGCATAAATAAATTCTACATCAAATTCTCTGTTTTACTCTCTTGTACTCTTTATCTATTTATCTCCCACGATAAAAAAAAAACGTTTTATACAGACTATTCAGATTTAACGAAAAACTTTAATACTTGTACAAAGTATTGAGTTTATCATTTATTGCCCAGAGACTCTTATCCTGAGTTTTTATGTATGCATTATTCAAATACATAGTCTATACATTACGATTCACATTGTGAAGCTATGATGCAGAAAATTCGGAAATTTTAAATTTAACTCTGCCTCGTGTGGGCAAACCTTGCCCCATCGTAACTTTCCCCTCGCCTCGTTTCGGTCTCTGGTGTTGTTCCACAATGACAAATAAGATAAATATAGTATCTACCATTTCCTACAGATGCAAAATCTATCTGTGTATATGAACGCGCATTTGGAAACAATATTTTCTCCCTACGAAAAAAAAAAATTAAGTCAGTTTAAACAGTTTTTCTGATTTGTTTAGTTCATTTTTTAAAGACGCAGAAAATTTCTTCACTATATGCTCGTATACATCATTCGTCAGCTTTTTCCATAAGTGTTGTATCATCGTTTACTCATTTTAATTACTACCGATTTGATTAAGTTATTCTCTCATAATACAAGATAATTCTAACAGAAAGACAAAAGAACATGTGGGAACTCTTCTATCTGGTTGATGTTGTTTTATCTGATTGATGAATTTTTGTATTTTCGTATCATCATTGTACTTGGTCAATTGTTTTGTTTTTGTTACAAATATTTAATCTTTTCTATGTTTGATGATTATATATATATAACGAAATCATTTTCAACGTTTCAGAATCATAAAATCTAAAAAAAACAATTAATTAATTAATATTGAATAATGGTAAAACATATTCTTCCAAATTTACATAGAATAGACGTGCCCGAAAATAAGGAAGATTTTCTACTAATATGGCTTGATAGGAATAATAATAGTAATATTAATAATAATAATAATTCATCAATTCATCATATACAAACAACCCTAGTGAAGATTAATCCGGCAGCTCAATTCTATACCGACATACGTCGATGTGAAAATTTTATTCGAACAACAAAAGATGAAAATGTTTTACTAATCATATCCGGTGTGAGCGCTCCCAGTCATGAATCATTACTTGTTCAATTATTTGGCATACAATGTATACGTGGTGTATTTATTTATTGTCAAAATCGAGATCCCAAAAAACAGAATTCTAATTATCAACATACAAAAGTAATTGGCTATTTTTTGAATTTCAATGAAATGATTATATCAATTGAAAAAACAATTCACCTATTGAAAAACAAAACATATAAATATAATCTATTTAATCAACAACAAAAGTCGACAAGAGATTTATCGAAAGAAGAAGCTTCATTTGTTTGGCATCAACTTCTCGTACATGTTCTTAAACAAATGACCAATGATGAACAAGCAAAAATTGATATGCTTAATCAGTGTAAAACATATTATCAACATAGTAAAAAACAACTTGCAAATATTGAAGAATTTAGTTCAATGTATTCGCCAGAAAAAGCAATTTATTGGTATACTAAAGAATCATTTGTTTATCGATTATTGAATCGTGCTTTTCGTACTGAAAACATTGAATTGATTTATGCATTTCGATATTTTATTATTGATTTATGTGCTCAAATCGAACAGAAAAGTCATAGTATGAAAACGAGTGATATTTTAAATCTTTATCGTGGTCAACAAATATCGACTGAAGAATTTCATAAATTAAAACAAAGTATCGGTAAATTAATTTCACCAAATGGTTTCTTTTCTACATCACGCAGTGAAAAAGTGTCATTAGCTTATGCTGGCGAAAGTTCAGAGCAAATAAAAGCTGTTCTTTTTAAAATAGAAGTCGATCCAACATTGAAATCAATTATTTGTGCAGATATTGAGGATGAAACAGCATTCACCGGCGAATATGAGGTACTATTTTCAATTGGTGCAACATTTCGCATTGGTGCTATTGAATATGATACAAATTTAAAAGTATGGACCATACAATTGACAAGTACAAACGATGGATTTGAACGTGTTCAAGAATATTTAAAAGTGGCCGAAAACGAAATGAAAGATATGAGTCCAATGGTCTATTTCGGTAGTCTTCTCCTATTCGAATTAGGACAAATTGATCATGCTGAAAAATATTTTAATGTTCTTTTAAAAATACTTCCATGCGATCATACCGATATTGCTAGTTTAAAAACTGGCTTAGGACATGTTCATTTGAGGAGAGGCAATTATAATGAAGCATTAGAATATTATCAATTTGCTTATAATATACGTCGAGAAACGCTTTCAATTTTAAATCCTCGTATCGGTGCTTCATTACGCAATATTGGTAATGTATATCGTTTAATGGGCAATTTCGACCAAGCATTGAACTATTATCGTCAAGCAATGCGTATTAATGAAAGCAATTATTCCAATAAACACATTGTTATTGCAATGACAATGGAAGAAATTGGTTTAGTTTATCAAAATAAAAATGAATTGGTAACGGCTTTACATTGGTTTGAAGATGCTTTAGAAACTTTTAAACATGTCCTTCCTTTACAACATCCACAAATAGCTGCCTGTCTCGGCCATATTGGTCATGTATATCAATGTATGAATGAATACGAATGTTCATTAGAATATCTTCATCAAGAACTTAAAATGGACGAATCATGTTTACCATTGGATCATATAGATGTTATCAATGATTTAAGACGTATTGTTGAAATTTATAGAATTATGAATGAATATAATAAAGGTTTAAAGTTTTGTCGAGAAAAATTAGAGAATTATAAAATTTTATTAGGTGAAAATCATTCACGTTGTGTTAATACACTTTTATGTACAATTGGCTTATTAGTTAAAAAATTTGAATATGATGAAGCATTAGATTTATCACAACGTGCATTAAAAATTGTTTTAAATACTGTACCATTCGATATTTATTCCACGATTGAATGTCTTCAATATATTAGTTATATTTATCAAATAAGAGAAGATTTTGTTAATAGTCTCGAATATCGTGAACGTCAACTTGAAATGGAAAAAGCAATTTATCCATTGAATCATCCAAACATAGCTTCGTCACTTGTGTCTATTGGAATGATTCGTTATGAGATGGGACAATATACGATTTCACTCGAACTATTACATGAAGCATTGACAGTTTATAAAGAAATGTCACCACCGACAAAGGATATGATTAAATTAGTACAAGAACATATTAATAGAGTCGAAAGAAAACAAATAATAGTTAGAAAATCACGAGCTTGGTCACCAGTTCGATTTCAATCGAGAAAGTCTAAACCAGAACGATCGAGATCTGAACGATCAACGCCAAAAGAATCGACACATGTACGATCAACATCAGAAGAATCGAGACCTATACGATCAATATCAGAAAAATCGACTCTTGTACTGTCAAAATCGGGTTCAAATTCTCGTGTCAATTCAACATCTGATCTCGATCTTGAAATATTAAAATTGAAACTTTCATTTGCAGATATTTCTCTACCAGATACTGTTAGAGACGTAACGGACGAGCCGATTGTTTATTTCGACTAAGATGCTACATACACGCACTCTAGTCGAAGAAACCCTACTTTCATCCGTCCGATTATCTATCTATCTGAACGCTCGAGAGAGAAAACAGCAGTTTTGAACCAGTATATAATCTCACATTTATTAGACTCCCAATGGAGGAAAAATGTGAGATTTTATACAATTTTTTTTCATGCTTAAGCAAATGTTTTATCTTTCGCTTGTTTGAATACAGATCTATATATTGGAAAAGATCAATTCAATCAAAAATGAACTCGTCATACCCATCCTTTATAAAGAGCAGTAACGATAATAAACTTCCGAAATTTTTAAATATTCTCGATAGGACTACTTACATAATGTCTTCAGATCGATCTACTATTAATCAGCACTAGTTATTAAAAAAAGTTTACTCCTGTTCCTTGTTAAATAGAATATTTATACAGGTTTTAAAAAAAATTGTTCATGGGCGAGCATGTCGAATCAACTCGACTGGTTAAATACACACTTTTACAAGGTACACTTAGTTCATCACTCATTTATAACTTATTTCTTTTGCCAGCGGCGAATAGAAATTCTTGTTACACTACAGAATCATATTATTCTATGTTTGCATATTGCCAGTTTTACACAGAAAACTAATCTCACCCCCGTAATAGAAGTCCTCGAGACTTCTAAACTGTCCAAGTGTTCAAAATTATTAGGAGGAGCTAACATTATGACTTTCGTACAAAAATTTACAAAAGTAGAATTTGAGTTTCGATGCTTCGTCGAGCACGCGAAAGTTTATTCAATATTGACGAACAGTTTTGTATATTTTTGCACCGTCCAAATATATCATCATATCCATGGAAGGAACTAATATAAATCAGTTAATATACGACTAGTGGGTAACAAGGTAAGAAAAAATATTCTCAGAAATTTTCTGTCGATATATCTTTGAAACTACTTCAGCAATTCCAAATAAATAATCATTTTAAAGCACATTCAAGATTTTCCCTCTAAAAAAAAAGTCAATTTTCGTCGGAATAGTCGGAACTAAGACAAATAAATGAAGAGATAGTCCGTTCATAGCGTCTCTATGACAGCCCCGACATATCCTGAAAATTTCATGCGATTGGAATGTACCTGAGCTGAGATCGGGTTTTGAGGGATGGTTGCCTTACAAGTGTATTTATTGTGTAAAAGTAAAGGTTTAAACTCAAGAAGTAAAAGTGAGTCAATAAATGAAGGTTGTTGCATGCATTTTTAGTCCTTAAAAAACAAATCTTTAATGTTGAATAGTTAGAAATTCAATGAAGATTTGTTTTGTACAAGATGTTTTTAACGATTTCATAAAAGTCTAAGTAGCAACCATTTTACATAGTCTTTTTAAGAAGTCTACAAAAATCGAATAAAATGTTGTATAATAAGATTTTTTTGAGTGTGAGTGTGAATGTGGATGGCGTGTGTGCGTATTGTGCTGGGTGTTAGAGATTGTGAATGTGGGGTGAATGTGGATATTAGTTTTAGGTCCATTCATTCCTACATCATTCCAGCACTCACACCCTCACCAACAGTCACATGTCCACCCACCTCCGTATCCAAACCCACGCCGGAGCGAATCATTTAAACATATTTTTTCTTTGAGATTATCCGTTGAAATGCATAAAAATCCTTGAGTTTCACTATGAAATGAAATCAGTTGTTTTATTCATTAATTTTTCCAATTGTTTTATGTCAACAGTTTTAATGATCTTAAACAAGCACTATTGATATTAAACGTATTTTAATGCGGCCAGAGCCATTTTCTGACTGCTGAAACTGAGCTCTATCCAACGCGGTGCTTCAGCTGTGTGTCTTTACGTATATATCTGGTTAATTGACATTATTTTTTTCTTCTATTCCCTCTTCTTAAACTTCAATGTGACGTGCAAGACTGGACATTTCATACGGTTCTAAGACTACTACATGGCTATCCCTTCATATCGTTCGCGGACCTTTTTCATATGACTCTGGAGGCTGTAGGTGTGAAAGGCGGTGAGTGTAGATGTGGAGTGAGTGAACTGAACAGTTACATCCACTCCTGTCTCACACTCCACATTCACGGCTCAAATACCAATTATTGATGAAACAAATTTTCAGTCGAAAAAAGTATGTTATCAAAAAAAAAGATTCTGTTGCATTCTTTGATATGTAGTGCATTTGATACAGAACTGATTAGATCAAAGAAAATACTTTTTTCAATGAGCTCGACTGGAAACGTTTTTTTTAATTTGTCTTACACAAATTATTCACTTTTGAAGAAAATAACGATTCAAGAATCATTCTATTATTAGTTCGGCAATTATATATTTGTAGGACATAAGACAGATACAATTTAATTAGAATTGCAAAAAAGAACTATGAGTTTCATATATTTTACTTCAAAAGAGTTTCATGTTATATCATTAAAACTTTATTCATTAACAAAAATATAATGATATATGTATATATATATATTATTATATAAACAATATTCTAAGAAAAAAAATCACACAGCTAATAAAAGACACACACCACCTAAGATCCATTTAGCTGGTTTTTCTTTTGTACGTAAATTAAATGTCCAAACAAATGTTGGACCACGTTGTTTTGTTTTATAAACTGGACATTCATAAATATTCTTTGTTTCACGTCGATCAACTACAAAATAAGAAAAAAAAAGTTAATTTCCAAAACAAAAAAAAGAAAAATCATTTAAAATAAATCTTTACCAGGAATAGCTTTAACAAAAACTACAGGCATCATTGGTGTTAATTCTTTTATTCTAGCTTCACTTAATTGACCTGTTTGGGTATCCCATCTTGCACCTTCCATAAAAAGTCCATGAACATAGGCACCTTCACGTGGTGCACCACCTAATTCTTCACGACTTTTTTTCGTTACATCAACTGATAAACACATTTTATCTAGTGGCCATTCATTTTTACGTGCTGTTGTTTGCATAATAGCTGTTAAAAATGATTGAGGATTAAATAAACCACCAAGCCAAACAGCAGCTGGTAATTGAAAATCGTTTGTCCACATTTCTAATTCTTTAATACGTAATAATAAATCACTATACCATAAACCAAGACTAAACATTGATGGATAAGCACGTTTTGTCCATGCAGCAGGTACTTGTTCAAAAAATAATGCATCTTGTAATTGTTCCATATCAGCTGTTATAGTTAATTCACCTTTAAGACCAAGATTAAGTTCTTTTAATGATCGACGCATTTCTCTTGTTAATAAATTCATACGTTCACATTCTTGTAAAGCAACAACTGTATATGGAGTTTTTTCTTCAGCTTTAGCATAAAGTTCACGAACAGGAAATTCATCAGGTAATTTTTCCATGATTTCATCTAATTTTGCTTTTATCTTTTCTTCACGTGTCATTCCTGCACCTTCACCACCAGCACCAGCACCTGTATCACGTGGTTGCATTTCTAATACTGTTTTAAATAGATTTTCACTTGTTGTTGTTAGAAAATCAATTTCAGCATTCGGATGTAAACCATAGAGATATGGTGATTCAGGTGGAAGAAATTCATCTATATAACCATGATAACCTTTATAATCAGTTGATGGTGGAATTGGAAAACTTGGTGCTAGATAAAGTTCACCATCAAACTAAATAAAAATATTCATAAAATACTACTAGAAAAAATTAGAAAATTGGCAATACAAAGATGGATTTATCTATAGATATGACCAATATCAGTTGATTTTAGTTCCGTGCCTGTCAGAATCATCTCACTATTATGAGCTTTAGGCGAAAAATGAAAAGTGTACTTTCTCATGAATTAAATAGAGCTGTACATATATATACTCTCACTGATGGACTCATCTGTTGAGGATTCGAGAAAAGTCATTCTTCTTAAACATCAAGTGCTTTTTATGAAAACAAATGTATAATGTAAGAAGCTTGCACAATTTTTCACAAAATGTCCCTTCACCCGTAGCACTTTTCTTACCATTGTTGGATTCATATATTCTTCAAGATAAGTTTTGCACAAACGACGATCCCAATCATCAGTAATATGACCACCATACATAATTTCACCGAATAAATATCGAAGATCTTCCCCTATAATTAAGCGATAAAATCATTGATAACTTTATATCACAACAAAAACTCAGATATTTACATGGTACTTTGGAATTAGCTTCCAAATAATTGTAAAGTACATTGACTGATATAGTAAGATCACCATTATTAAATGGATAATTTCGATTCCAACCTTGTGCACCGAATTTTCGTCTAGAAACATGAAAAGTTTAACTTTTAATATATCATTTAAATACAATTGTCGTAAAAACTTTTGGTCACTTTTCAAACAAATTCTTCAAAAACTAACGTCTAATTCCGGCTATTTTCAACAATTTCGTTTTGAAATTTTGAAAGCATCATTGAGTCGACTTTAGATAACATAGGCCGATATTCATAGATAGTTCCTTTCGAGAGTTATAAGACTTTTTTCGAGACCTCTGATTGAAGCTAAATGAGTTGTCATTACTCAGAATAGGACCTAAGCAGGTATAAGTCACTGTGCTGAGTCGAATGATAATACTTCATTATAGGTTTGAATTGATTTAACACTATTATGTGAATATTTCCGAAATGTCGGCTTCTTCAATACAAGGAAGCTAATAGTAGAATTTCAAAAATATTGAAATAACAATGTCAGATCATTGCAAACCTGATACTGCAGTAGCTTTAGATCTTCTCTCTTGAATGGTGAAAAACACAAGTCTCTATGATATTTCGATCAAATGTTATTCAAAATATACCGTAGTTAGCATATTGTATTTTAAAGTAGATAGTATAGTTTAGATATTTTTTATCTGACAGTAGGATTTTTAGCGACTGCTGTATCATGTGTATAACATTACCTTTCAGCAACAACAGCATGGAAATAACAAAGTGCAAATAAAATTGATTTAAATTCCGTTTCTTTTGCACACATTTCAAGTGTATCTTGATTAAATAAATCAAGTGCTTTATGTAAATTAGCTTG